AAAAAAAAAAAAAAACAAAAGCCGTTTTGGGAAAACAGTGTATTTATTAAAGAAAATCACTTATGGGGCATGTACAAAAATTTAAAAAAAAAAAAAAAAAAAAGTAAAAAAAAAACCATTCAATTTGCCCAGTAAAGTTGTTTTTGTGAAATTTCTGTGTTGTTGAATAAAGGACTTTAGTATTCAAAATATCTCTATTTTTCCATGCACAAACGTTTATTTGTAGGATTGGAAAGCCAAGAGCCTCTGACCTTGAAACTCTCATTGGCTGGTGATAAAAAGGTGTAAACCCACGTTTACCTGATTTCAGCAGATGCCTGCCGTGTACGCCACCATAAAACAGCCCACTTTGGTTCATTTTTTATTTTCCCTCATATTTCGTCTGTGTGTGCGTGTGTGTTTTGAAAGGGAAAGCGAACACAATTCCTCTCACCTTTCTGAAGGATGTATTTGTGTTGAGCTCTACAAGGTCACCGGAGAAACAGGAAGTGATGTCACAAGCTCCCCTCTTTTCTTCTGGGGGGGGCAGGCAGGCAGGCTTCCGGGGAGCCCCTGTGCTGGTAAGGAAGACACACACAGGCGTCGGTGGGCGTGAAAAACTCGGGGCTCTCTCCAACCACCCCCTGCAGGGCCCTGGGACTAGATTTTCACTGTTATGCTTTTTTGTTGCCAAATATTGTGGGCCATCCCCTGTGCTGCTTATCTGCTGGTAACGGTGCTTTTCCGTATTCCACTGCTTCTCAGGACCAAAGTCTCGTTCTTTTCTCAATGTCTTATACAAGAACTGTCAAACCCAGTTTTCTATCTTGGAAATCATGAATACGGTTATAAACACAAAGCTTCAAACAGTGGGTGGAGTTCCATTGGCCAAAACTAATGCCACCTGGGACGGTTGTTGCAGATTTTATAAATTTCAGGATGCGCTCCGATAGTGTAACATCACAGACAGAACGTCCCTGGGCCTGGCGGCAGACCCGGACCACGTGAGGCGAGGAAGGAGGATCAAGTCGCCTGAATAATGAGCAATCCGGGATCCCCTGCCGTTCTTCAGGTGAGTCGCTGAGCTTCCTTCTGACCCTGGGGAGTAGACAACATAGTGAGCGTATAAGACGACTGCACAGGCAGCGTGCGAGGCCACGGAGTGCTGAGGTTGATGTGCAATGACGAGTGAGCGACTCTTCCAGGTGGTTTGAATAAACCAAAAGGGGAGGGGAGATGCAAGTTATGTGGGTATTGACCGGGCAGTGATTTCATGTGGTTTGTGCGAAGTGGCACTGAAGGGTGTTTGTTGGTGAAAGTTGTTTTTATTTGCATGTCTTATGCTAAGGAGCCATTCTCCATTCTAATTCCACTCTTTATGTTTCTTTTAATGGAGAAAAAAATGTTACTGGAAGTAAACAAAACGAGCACAAACACTAGACTTTATTGGCATATGCTACGTAAGTAGCCCACCTACTTGTAGGTACAATTTTGCTTATTTGCAATTTTTATATCTAACCTTTTATTCTAGTGTCATGACTTACAGTTTGACTTTGTTTCCTTTGCAATTCAGAAATTTTGGACTATTTTTTAAGTCAATATTTCTTATTTTCAATGTATTTATATGTAATGAAATGCCAACCAAATTTTCATCTTAGTCAAAGTCTGTGCTTTCTTTACAATGTGTTTCTTATGACAAAAATCATTCCGGTTAACAGGTGTTGTAATTTCACATATTGGAAGCAGTGTACAGTTCTCTTTCCAAGACAGTACAGATCTACTCTTACCGCGTAGGAAGCCACCGTAAAGCATCTCTACTACAAGGTGGAGTTACGTGGTTTGCTAATAGATGGTAGGAAGATCTCATTGGCTGGTTTGAATGATGATACTCTACTTACGAGCGTTCTGAAATGT